AAAAAAAAAACCCTTCCCCTTCCAAACGCGCCTCCCATGTTACCTCCCCCAGCTTCCCAGAGCCATCAACTCTGTCTACCTTGCTTGAATTTAACTGATAAGCATAAAGAGCCAAGGATCTTGTCTTTTATCTGCCTGGCCAAAGCAAAGGTAATCTACAATGGAAGAGGCACCTTTATAGCAGCTGTTCCCTTTCTACCACCAGGAACGGCAGCAGGTTACAACAGCAGTCAAAAAAGGAGACATATGATTTTTTTTTTACCCAAACTGCTGTCATTATCCTCCGTCTCACTGGCCAGCTTGAATAACGTCCGTCTTTTGGTTTCACACCTTTCACAGAGCTCCTGGAAGACAGACAAGGACAAAGGGTCTCATCAGACAGAGGTGACTGTCAGCAAAACCAGCCCACACAGAGCAGCTCCCCTGGGATGAATGTCCTAGTGTGAATGGACAACCAAGATCTCTCATCCCTGCCCCATTAATGGGTCTGTGAAGTACTTTTAATACAAAATCTCAGTCCTCCTTCATATCAGCATTTTTGCCCATGTTTCCCTGTAGTCCAAAAGTGTTGTGTTCCTTCTGCAGCAGTTCCTGGAAGCTCAAGGAAGAGCAGAATTACTCTTAACTCTCATTAGTGTTCTCATTAGAGCCTGCAATCCCCCAAAGGAAAGGTGGCAGGAAGAATATGCTGTTATCCCTGTAGTATAGGCAACAAACCAGTTTAAAAAAAAAAAAAAAACATAATTTCAGTAGCTTACTGTTAAATACATGTACAGTTTTACTAAATTAGATACAGTGCAACTCTTCAAGGTCCTGGAAAAAAAAAAAAAAAAACAACATAATTTCAGTAGTTTACTGTTAAATACATGTACAGTTTTATTAAATTAGATACAGTGTAACTCTTCAAGGTCCTGATTTATCCAACCATCCCTCATGTCTGTTTTGATTTTTACCTTCTTGATCATCTTCCAAACTTATAACACTAGCTAAAACTCTTCCTGAGGGAAGGATATTTTATCTACCTGGTTCAGCCTTCAGGGTATTCATTTAGAATGCTGTGAGGGACAATTATTAAATGGAATCAGCGTGTCCTAGCAGGAGCAGGAATTACATATGGTAGCTTCTCCATCCTGCTATACTGCATCTTTGGCAAAGTGCTGTACCTCACTTCCCCCATGTACAAAACAGAGCTATTGAAAGCTCCCTTGAAAGGCACCGAGTCTTTGGTGAAAGGTGTTAAAAACATGATTATTTTCTTTCCTGCTGTTTCCAATGACTGCTCTTGTTTCTCGTCACCGCTCTCCGTTTTCCTGCGCTGTTTTTATTGATCTTTGCACAGCATTACAATCTGGAGGAGGAAAAGACTGACTGCAGGATTTCTGGGAAGCAGGAGCAGCTCAGACCCACCTTCATGAGCTCCCTGTCAGCCTCTGATGAATCCTCTTTGCTGTAATGAAGCAACATCTCATTGAGCAGCTTCACGTTGTTATTCACTTCCTCCAGTGTGTGCATGCGTTTCGTCACTTTTTGTATCCGAGCCTCATCCTTCGCAGTGTAAGAGAGAGACAAAAAGTGAGTTTTCCAGTACAGGCCACAGTATCACAGCAGCAGCTGCTATCTGTAAGTCATGTCAAACAATGTGTATTTAAGGTAGAACTAGGAATAAAAAAGTATTTTTTCCATTCATGTAAAGCATTGCTTATTCAGTTATCTCTTCACCACCATTCTAAAATTTTATGAAATCCCACAATTCTAACATCGCATTAAATAGATATTAATGAATAATTACATAAACAAAAATAGCTTTTTTTTAAAAAAAAGCTGTTCTCAAAAGTTCCAAAGATTCCTTTCTGAGGTTATCAGAACGTGTTTTTTATTATTATTTTTATTTTTTAAGGGGAATAGGGACTGTCCTTGATGAGACTTTATGAAGAAGACACATTTGAAACAAAACATGTACTACAAATAACCAACAATCTCTTGTAGAAAACGCCCAACCACCTCTGAGTGGAGATTCCAGACAAAGACATAGGAGACTCTGCCCTGGATGAAGGAACTCGAATGGAAACACGGTCTCAGTCACCTACACGTCCTCTTCAATCCTGAAGCTCTACTGCCTTTAGCCAGATTCCCAGTGAGTCATTTCCTGGCCTCCAGGGTTTCTAACAGCTCCATGGGTGGATGCCTCACAGCTCCACAAACAGGAAGGTGTTTCCATGAAGCCTGCTCTGCTGCCTCAGCCCTCGGTAACAAGAGCTAAGTTCTGTGATGCTCCCACCAAACCCCCGACATGAAACATCATCTTGAGTGGTAGGAGTATTAATTTCAATATCCCATTCAGTCCTCCTCATCTTACCCTGTCCTCCAACAGTAACACCAACTGTAGACATTTTCGTGGTACAAGATGCCCTGTTTGTGATCTAGTCACAATTACCTCCTACCAAGTTATCAGATGGGACTCTCTTATGACCCTCACCAGTTGGACTAGATGAGAGTCAGTTGACCTAGAAATTTTTAAAACTAAACAAAATCCCTCAAGACTGGATGTCACTGCCAGACAATGCCATTAAGACTCTGAGGCTTAACTAAGGAATTCACTAATGCAATGCTCTTGGAGCCCCAAAAAATCCAAGTTCTGCCATTCACACGATCCTAAAGCTTTCTACCAATTTGGGGTCAAAATGTTTAAACCTGCAAAGCAGGCTGTTGACTGTCATCAGCCCTACAGGAATTTCTTACCTCTTTTACCATGGATTTTATAAGCTTGTTGGCCTCTTGTAAATCATCTGGGTTTTTGCTTTTCAACAGCTTGGCTAGAAGCTGCAAGACAAGAGAGTATTCAGGAAACAAAGAGAGCCCTTTTAGCAAAGGGAAGCAGCAAGAGGAATTGAATAATTCAGGGCAAAGAGATACATCC